ATCCTTCTCAAGCTATTCCAAGAAATAGAAAGGGAAGGAAAACTTCCAGACTCATTCTATGAAGCCAGTATTACTTTGATTCCTAAACCAGACAGAGACCCAGTAAAAAAAGAGAACTACAGGCCAATATCCCTGATGAATATGGATGCAAAAATTCTCAATAAGATACTAGCAAATCGAATTCAACGGCATATAAAAAGAATTATTCACCATGATCAAGTGGGATTCATTCCTGGGATGCAGGGCTGGTTCAACATTCGCAAATCAATCAACGTGATACATCACATTAACAAAAAAAAAGAGAAGAACCATATGATCCTGTCAATCGATGCAGAAAAGGCCTTTGACAAAATCCAGCACCCTTTCTTAATAAAAACCCTTGAGAAAGTCGGGATAGAAGGAACATACTTAAAGATCATAAAAGCCATTTATGAAAAGCCCACAGCTAACATCATCCTCAACGGGGAAAAACTGAGAGCTTTTTCCCTGAGATCAGGAACACGACAGGGATGCCCACTCTCCCCGCTGTTGTTTAACATAGTGCTGGAAGTTCTAGCATCAGCAATCAGACAACAAAAGGAAATCAAAGCCATCAAAATTGGCAAAGATGAAGTCAAGCTTTCGCTTTTTGCAGATGATATGATATTATACATGGAAAATCCGACAGACTCCACCAAAAGTCTGCTAGAACTGATACATGAATTCAGCAAAGTTGCAGGATACAAAATCAATGTACAGAAATCAGTTGCATTCTTATACACTAACAATGAAGCAACAGAAAGACAAATAAGGAAACTGATCCCATTCACAATTGCACCAAGAAGCATAAAATACCTAGGAATAAATCTAACCAAAGATGTAAAGGATCTGTATGCTGAAAACTATAGAAAGCTTATGAAGGTCATTGAAGAAGATTTAAAGAAATGGAAAGACATTCCCTGCTCATGGATTGGAAGAATAAATATTGTCAAAATGTCAATACTACCCAAAGCTATCTACACATTCAATGCAATCCCAATCAAAATTGCACCAGCATTCTTCTCGAAACTAGAACAAGCAATCCTAAAATTCATATGGAACCACAAAAGGCCCCGAATAGCCAAAGTCATTTTGAAGAAGAAGACCAAAGCAGGAGGCATCACAATCCCAGACTTTAGCCTCTACTACAAAGCTGTCATCATCAAGACAGCATGGTATTGGCACAAAAACAGACACATAGACCAATGGAATAGAATAGAAACCCCAGAACTAGACCCACAAACGTATGGCCAACTCATCTTTGACAAAGCAGGAAAGAACATCCAATGGAAAAAAGACAGTCTCTTTAACAAATGGTGCTGGGAGAACTGGACAGCAACATGCAGAAGAATGAAACTAGACCACTTTCTCACACCATTCACAAAAATAAACTCAAAATGGATCAAGGACCTGAATGTGAGACAGGAAACCATCAAAACCCTAGAGGAGAAAGCAGGAAAAGACCTCTCTGACCTCAGCCGTAGCAATCTCTTACTCGACGCATCCCCAAAGGCAAAGGAATTAAAAGCAAAAGTGAATGACTGGGACCTTATGAAGATAAAAAGCTTCTGCACAGCAAAGGAAACAACCAACAAAACTAAAAGGCAACCAACGGAATGGGAAAAGATATTTGCAAATGACATATCGGACAAAGGGCTAGTATCCAAAATCTACAAAGAGCTCACCAAACTCCACACCCGAAAAGCAAATAACCCAGTGAAGAAATGGGCAGAAAACATGAATAGACACTTCTCTAAAGAAGACATCCGGATGGCCAACAGGCACATGAAAAGATGTTCAGCGTCGCTCCTTATCAGGGAAATACAAATCAAAACCACACTCAGGTATCACCTCACGCCAGTCAGAGTGGCCAAAATGAACAAATCAGGAGACTACAGATGCTGGAGAGGATGTGGAGAAACGGGAACCCTCTTGCACTGTTGGTGGGAATGCAAATTGGTGCAGCCGCTCTGGAAAGCAGTGTGGAGGTTCCTCAGAAAATTAAAAATAGACCTACCCTATGACCCAGCAATAGCACTGCTAGGAATTTATCCAAGGGACACAGGAGTACTGATGCATAGGGGCACTTGTACCCCAATGGTCATAGCAGCACTCTCAACAATAGCCAAATTATGGAAAGAGCCTAAATGTCCATCAACTGATGAATGGATAAAGAAATTGTGGTTTATATACACTATGGAATACTATGTGGCAATGAGAAAAAATGAAATATGGCCTTTTGTAGCAACGTGGATGGAACTGGAGAGTGTGATGCTAAGTGAAATAAGCCATACAGAGAAAGACAGATACCATATGGTTTCACTCTTATGTGGATCCTGAGAAACTTAACAGGAACCCATGGGGGAGGGGAAGGAAAAAAAAAAAAAAGAGGTTAGAGTGGGAGAGAGCCAAAGCATAAGAGACTGTTGAGAACTGAGAGCAAACTGAGGGTTGATGGCGGGTGGGAGGGAGGAGATGGTGGGTGATGGGTATTGAGGAGGGCACCTTTTGGGATGAGCACTGGGTGTTGTATGGAAACCAATTTGACAATAAATTTCATATATAAATTTAAAAAAAAAATAAATAAAGTTTTTAAAGGTAAAATTTCATGCAACAAAATGGGTAACTCTTAAATGTACAACTTGATAATTTTTGACAAATGTTTACATCTTTGTAACCTGCAACCCCTCTAGTTCTGGTAAGTATGGAACAGAACCAGCTATGGAAAAGAAGTCCTCAAGAACATATGCAAGGAGGTGATTATAATGACTGACCAGAGAATTTTATTTATTTATTTATTTATTTATTTATTTATTTATTTATTTATTTTAAGATTTTATTTTTTTTTTTTTAATTTTTTTTTCAACGTTTATTTATTTTTGGGACAGAGAGAGACAGAGCATGAACGGGGGAGGAGCAGAGAGAGAGGGAGACACAGAATCGGAAACAGGCTCCAGGCTCTGAGCCATCAGCCCAGACCCCGACGCGGGGCTCGAACTCATGGACTGCGAGATCGTGACCTGGCTGAAGTCGGACGCTTAACCGACTGCGCCACCCAGGCGCCCCTTAAGATTTTATTTTTAAGTAATCTCTGCACCCAAGGTAGGGCTCAAACTCACAACCCCAAGATCAAGAGTTGCATGCTCTGCTGACTGAGCCAGCCAGGCGCTCCCGCAGAGAATTTTAGTGAGGTGAGGAAAGGAGCTAAGGACATGGGGACTGAAATGGATAGGAGATGGAATTAGTGGATTTTGAGATTCATGTGGGGTTGAAGGGTAATATGGGACATTTTCTTTTGCTGTGTCTGTCATGTCTCTGTGACAACACAGTGATGATTGACACAATAGATGTTCATTGTCAAATGTGAAAATATATTGAGAATTCATTTGCTTTTGAATAATCCTAATGGTTTCTTTTCCCTGGGAACAGCTTTCCTTTTCAAGGCCACTTGTATGTTGGTGCCCGCATTTATAACTTGCTTTCTACATTTGCTAATCTTAATACGAATGTGTGAAATAAAAGAGAGAACACAAAACCTGTCTTACGGTTATTATTATTTAGTTTAGACGGCAATTCAGCATTTCCAAGAAAGACGCCTTTCAGCTTTACAATTTTAACGAACAAATGCATCACCTTCTAATGAGAGACTTTTGGTCCTGAAACGCATCTGAAACGTTTAAAATTTTGTATTCTAAAATAATTATAGTAAGTTATAAAAATACTTCTAAGAATGTGGCGTGAAAGAAAACTATGTTTTCTTCTTCTGTCTTGCTTAATAGTTGATAGCATTAAATTTTCTATTTTAAAAAGGAAAAAAAAAGATGTCAAAATCTCCTTATGAAGCCAGCAGATTTAACTCCAAAATTTCCATATAGGTTATTTTTAGACTTCAGCTGACAGAAAACATCTGTTTTGCTACAACTTTAATATAACCTAAAAGTGCATATGTTCATCATCTTTGTCTCATTTATGTAATTTATATCACCCATATGAAAAACCCTTTCCAAATAATCCATGACTTGAGGTACTGTAAGTAGAAGTAAATGGTCACTTGCAACGCATAAATTCAATCTACAGTTTACTGACCATAGTTTCAGCTGATGTATTCTCTTTATTGCTTTATTAAATGAGATTTTATATTTGTACTATAATATGCATAGATTAAAGATAGCCATCAAAAACAGTGAATGGTGCAAGAATAGCTGGTATATTTTCATAGCAGACTTTAAATTCTGTGACCTTAGGAGTTTATTGAATCTCTTTATAGTTCACATCTCAGTTGGCTAAATGGGGTGATGGAGGCAGTGACCTGAGCTGTTTAGTCTAGAGATTTATACGAATTACAGATTCTTTTTTGGGTTTCTTTCTTTCTTTCTTTTTTTTTTTTTTTTTTTTTTTTTGGTGCAACATGGTTTTGGTCATTTCATTGCTCTTTAGTATCACCTTTAGAAAGTATATAGAAAAAGAGCACAAAGGTAAAATAAATGTATCATTTTTAAATTTTATGTCTCAAATGTACCAGTAATTACAACTGAATAGACCGAAAGGTTTAAAATAATCACTTTTTTTCCCTGACAGACTTTCTAAAATTCTATTATTCTTTAAAGCCTCTTCTCTGTGGGTATAGTTCTCTATTATTTTTCCCCCATTCTGGGCTTAGATTTCCTCATCTGTAAAAAGGGGTGATTTACTACGGTGCTCCATCTAGCTACAAATAAGCAATGTATCTAAAGCACCCTACTCAGCGTGGCTTGAGATTTAAGTTGAACGCTCTGGGAGACAGCTTTGGGCAAGATCAGCCTTTTGAAGGATATTCAAGGGTTGCTCATGAGGAGGGGAGTCAGGGAGTGTGAGACTCACTTTTCAATGTGCTTCTTGGTTGTTTCAGTGTTTAACCACATACTAGTTTTAAACATGGCTTACAAAACAAGAAGCAACCCCACTGCCACAGGTCTGACCTGCATGGGAATCTCTTTATTCAGGTATCCCTGAACCCCATTATTATGCAGACCCCCGAATTGGGTGAACTGTCTCTCAGCCAGAATTTGGAGAGATCGAGGAGGCACTGATTGATCTTCCCCACCATGGAAAATTACCACTCTGGGTAAGTCCACCATTTTCACTGGTAAATTCACCTCCTCCCCCCTACCCTCCCTCCTTTTGACAGGTAAACTGAGTCCCAAAGAGGCATGACACCATACCCTAGTCCAGGGGCACGCTCTATAGTTCTTCTATTGTTAATAAATACATTCAACACTGAACTTCAGCAAAGAAAGGGGTGAAAAATAGTGAGGATGTGGAGGTAGGAAGCTAGGTTTACCAGTGACTTTGGGTAAGTTTATTTAATCTTTTTGAATCTCAGATTTCTTACCTATATTTGGGGTCAACAAAATCTACCTTGAAAAGATTGTAATGAGAATTAGAACTACAGTGTAAAGACTTTAGTATTACTGGGGAAAGAGAAGGGACATCATAGGACATCTTTACCATTATGTCCTGGAGTCAGGGAGCCTGTGTCCTATCTCTGACTGTTTAAGTGGACGTTGCCAACTTTTGCTTTTTCAGGAGTAAAAGTGAAATAATACCTGTTTTTGTTTTTTCACAGTTACTAATAGAACAAAAAAAGTAATGAAATCACCTTTTTTATTGTAAAATGTTATAGAAACAAGTGAAATTAATGTTTACTAAACTGCTACTGGAGTTTTGAAATTATTAGTTTATTTTTCATATTTGAATAGAGTTGCTTAGGTTGAAATTTTAAATTTTTTTTAACGTTTATTTATTTTTGAGACAGAGAGAGACAGAGCATGAATGGGGGAAGGGCAGAGAGAGAGGGAGACACAGAATCGGAAGCAGGCTCCAGGCTCCGAGCCATCAGCCCAGAGCCCGAGGCGGGGCTCAAACTCACGGACCGCGAGATCGTGACCTGGCTGAAGTCGGACGCTTAACCGGCTGAGCCACCCAGGCGCCCCAGGTTGAAATTTTAAAGAAATTACTAGATGTCAAACATACAGTCGGATGAGCAGTCTTTATGTTATTCTCCTTTGCTTCTCTTGTCGCTGATAAGCAGCACCACCAGGGCTGACCTGAGGCAGAAATGAGACCATGTGGTCTTGGCTGCTGTCCCTGGTCTGCCCCAAGACACCTGCGGGGTGAGATTCCCTATTCTCATGCTGAATTTCATCCTCTTGCTCATTGCCTCCATAAGTTACTTCTTAGAAAAGCAAAGAAACTAAATAATTAAGTTTGAGCATTAAAAAAAAATGAATCACAATAAAAATGTCCTTTTAAAACTTTTTAGAGCATGATCATGAATATGGTCACTTTTTATGATAAATACTAGAGAGACTTACCTATTTATTCCCATATTCCATTCAGTATCTTTAAGAAGCCTAGTCTGTTATATTTTTATTAGTTTCTTTTCCTCAATTTATTTGTCAATGGCTTTACATGTGTGTTTAGAAATTATGTGACTTTATTTTAATTGATTTCGTGAAGCTTTGCGTCTGTGACAAGATTTGCAATTGCACTTGGCACTGTATTTACTTGGCATTATATTGGCATTAGATTTTACAATATCTGGCAATCAGCAAGAAACAGATAAAACATTATACGTAATGGGAGAAAATAGAAGCTAGTGATTAACTCATCAGTGAACATGTATGTGTTATTAAGACTTCTGCATCACTATACAATCTGCACTAGTATTATTATTCTCATTTCACACAGGAAGAAACTGAGGCTTGGTCTTGTTAAACTCACCTATAATATAAAGTTAGTTTTGTAAGTGACATAGTCAAGAATTGAACGTACATCTGACTTTCAGGGTCCTAACAACATTATAGTAAACGATAAAGAACTTCAATTTGGTTATGTGTTTTTAAGGAAAAGCAAAGCAAAGAAACAAGGTCAAGGTCAATAAAAACTGTTAAAAACTGTTAATTAAATACACAATTGTGTGATCTAGACGATTAATTTTGTGTGAATTCAGAAAAGGATATAGGTTCATAGAATTAGAGAAGATGGGGAATATAGAGATAATTTAGTAATGTCCAAGGCAAGAAAATTGATTGTCCCAAACCACATAATCTGTCAATGACAGGGATGGGTTTTAAAACTACAATCCCTTGCTTTTTCCAAGATAAATTTGTGTCAAAGTAAAAAAACAAAACAAAACAAAACAAAAAACATTATATCTTAATTGTGAGATCTGAACTTAAAATTTTTTAAATATTTATTTATTTATTGAGAGAGAGAGAGAGTGAGAGCACATGTGAGCAGGGGAGGAGCAGAGAGAGAGGGAGACAGAAGATCTGAAGCGGGCTCTGCACTGACAGCAGAGAGCCCACAGAGAACCCACAAACCATTAGATCATGACTTGAGCCAAAGGCAGATGCTTAACTGACTGAGCCACCCAAGCACCCCAGATTCAAAATTTTTAATAACATTCATCATGAAGTTAGCCCAAACTGGAGAAACTTGATATTACAGTGACACAGAAGAGATGGAGAAAAATATTAGAATGATCCAGCCATCAACCTGTCTAGATGGAAGCTTTAATGTATATCAGACACTGTTGGGTCCTGTGGCTGAGGAATTAATGAGTAGCTCCCAGTCTGTTAGGAAACCAAGAAACATCTACCAACAAGGATAATATAATGTAATAAGGGCAATTTGGAAGGCAAATCACAAAATGCTGTGGGCACAAAATGAGTGGGGAGGAATTAATTCAGCCTGAGAGATTTCTATTGATTCTGCTGTGGTGCTCCACAGAAGAGATGAGATTTGAGTATAACAGGCATCTAAGGGGCTGAAGGCTGTGCCAATCAGAAAGAACAGAAAAGGTATAAGATGTCATACAGCAAAGTGTGTTAAAGAAATAGCAAGAGATTCAACGAGGCTCTAAATATTTATCTAAGAGCCCCAGAAATGTATTTTGAAGAATGCTTAGCTTGTGAAAATTGCCGAATCATTCTGTTCAGAAATGTTTTGCTAATTTCAAATTTTTCTTAATTTTGCAAAAATCCTTTAGCATACTTTCCCACTCTTCTGGTATCAGCATTAGCAGCCTCACCATTGACATTTACATTTTAATAATTGTCAAAAGATGTAAGTGTTGACCACCCGTAACTAAGCACAAACTCTCATCACATTGGCTATATTTTGCCTATACGTCTTTGAAAAAATGTCTAGACTTTGTCAGACTATTTGTGTTTCAGTTATGAATGGAATTCAATAAAAGGGTAACAAACTCAAATGGCATTGACTAAATGTGAACTAATGCAATGAGAATCTTTCCAGTTCCATAAGCAAAAATATCTTCCCCTTATGGTATCTGCTCTTTGCAGTATGTTCTCCTCTCAGAAGAGTTACCACTCATAAAACTTATTTTGGTTTTTTTTCCTACATAAAGCAAAACTTTCTCATCCTTAACATTTTTTTTAATGCCTCAGTGGAATTCTTTGGCTAAGTTCAAGTTTGCATGAGCTTGGAGGGCATCTATATTATAACAGCTTCCATGTCTGTTTCCTCCCTCCTTCCTCCCAGCTCTGAATAGATGGGATCTTAAGGGAAGGGATGAAATCTCACTCATTTAGTATTTTCAGTATCTGGAACTTAGTAGATATTCTATCAGTGAGAAATAGATGAATGAGAATAAGTGAATGAAACTGGTGAAAGCCCCATTGATCTGAGAATTATGAATCTGGTAAGGAGTAAAATTTAGTTGTCTAAGAAAAGAGATTACCTGAGGGAACCTGGGTGGCTCAGTTGTTTGAGCATCTGACTTCAGCTCAGGTCATAATCTCACCACTTGTGTGTTTGAGCTCCGTGTCAGGCTCTGTGCTGACAGCTCAGAGCCTGGAACCTGCTTCAGATTCTGTGTCTCCTCCTCTCTCTGCCCCTCCCCTGCTCTCTCTTTCTTTCTTAAAAAAAAAAAAAAATAAATAAATAATTAAAAAAATTTTTGAAAGAGAAAAGAGATTACCTGAAATACTGGGATTTTATGGAGCCAAAAATAACCCTCCCCTTTTTACCCATTCCTGAGTTTTTAAATTTAGACACATAAAATATATGGACATTTCTTTAAGTAAGGTATGCTACTGATACTGTTTAAAGATCATGACCTAAGTCATGACTTAAGTCATCATTTACAATCAAAATAGTTTTCCAATACTTTATCCCAGGGTTGCATAAACTTATCTCCCAAGTTACCTGCATGGCTGACACCATAGGGCCCTCCCAAAGGAGAGTCTCTTTACCACTTGACAGAGAGTAAATCAGAAGATATTTGTTCATTCTAGAAATATTAATCATACACCTGTTATGTACTAGGCAATAGAGATATGATGTTGAATAATTTCTGTGATCACAATGTTGGACTGAAGTGAACAGGTTATTTCAATATAGCATAATGGTGAGCAATAGGGAACTAAGGGAGGACAGGAGGACCCCAAAGCCTGGACTTAGAAAACTCCAGGAATGTTTTCTATGGGATATCTAAGATGTGGCTTGAGGGAAGAGTAATAATAGCTCTCTAGTAAAAAAGGAGTGTTGCAGACCCCCCCCCCAAAAAAAGTATCTGAAACATAAAGAACTTTTTAAAAGTAATTGGTGGGTAGAATAAGAATGGACAGAGAGATATAGAGAAGGAAGAGAAAAGGAGAATGAAAACAAGACAAGAACAGTTGGTAGAGGACAGTTCAGGGGGGCTTTGCAAGCAATTTTAGGTACTTTCCATTAGACTCTTTCCTAAATGGAATTAATAGTTAACTGAATGGTTTCCAGCTAGAGAATGACATGTGACAATGGCCACTTTGTGAAATATGTTAGGAAAGATGGCAGGAGGACCATTTGGGAGACTTGAATATCAGTAGAGGCAGGAAGGTTGGAGAGAAGTAGATAGATTTAAGAAGCATATAGGATGCAACATCAGGAAGAATTATGGCAAGTTAGTTGAAGAAGAAGTCAAGCCTGATGCCACTGATCTCTCGCTTAAGTGGAAAGATGGTTTGTCATTCTCTAATCAAAGTAAGATGCGGGGGATGGAGGGGTGTGATTTAGGGTGATGATAATGAATTCAATTTTAGATTGATGAATTTGGGGTGTTTGGGGGTCATTATTATAGCCACATCCAGTTGGCAGTAGGATATATAGAAAAAATGAAACACAAATGTACTCTGGGCTGGAGACAAAGATTTGAAGAACATTAACAAGATGACAGGTTGATCCAGGTGTTGACATTGCAAAATCTACAGTAGAAGAGATACTGAAAAACTGAAATTGTCTACTGAAAGTTAACATGATATAAAAATGATTTTGAAAAACAGATTTTTCAAATATGGGGCCCCTGGGTGGCTCGGTCGGTTGGGCGTCCGACTTCAGCTCAGGTCATGATCTCACGGTCCGTGAGTTCGAGCCCCGCGTCAGGCTCTGTGCTGACAGCTCAGAGTCTGGAGCCTGTTTCAGATTCTATGTCTCCCTCTCTCTGCCCCTCCCCTGTTCATGCTCTGTCTCTCTCTGTCTCAAAAATAAATAAACGTTAAAAAAAATTAAAAAAAAAAAAAAAGAAAAACAGATTCTTTGAGGAGTGGTTATTACAAAAGCTTCAAGTATTCCCCTTGGGCAGTT